CATGCCTGGGAGATGAACATTCTACCACTGAGCTAACACCGTAGTGATTACAAATCCTATGAACAATCTGACTCTACTAAGTTGAACTGCATTTGACACAATCATTGCTGTTTTATTTTCTATAAGAAATATGTGAAGATAAAAAACCTCTTAGCATGCAACATAATCTTCGTATTTCAAGGGAAATCAGCAAGTACCAGTAAATTATCCCCATCTGCTTTTAGTTTCAAAGGCGAAAGAAAGGGAGAGAGGAGGATGAAAACTCTGAGTGTATCTTTTGAAAGAAGCGCTTGACCAAAAGCTGTCTAAGAGGACAATGAGCAGGACTTCCCACTCTCAGTGGTCTAGAGCAGTAAAAGGGGAGGGGAATGGGGTCAGATGAAGAAGTCTGATGGAAGCTGAACTTGCAAAGCAAAAGTTACCAACTGAGTCTAGCATTATAATCACAAGAGGGCAGTTGAAGGAGCAGGCCCAGCCTGGTTTTCCTGAGCTACTGATTGCTTGCATGGATGTGAGAATTTATAGTTCCCATTTTCTGAATGAAATGTTGAACAATTAAAGGTGACTGAGGACGTTATCTTAGGGACCTGATAACTGGCATTCTAGTTCTTCCATGATCTTCACAGGACCCTCACCTGTTAGCCTTTGTTTGATGGTTTTGGTTTGGTTTTAGTTTGGTTTGATTTGGTTTTGGCTTTGGCTTTTGTTTTGTTTTTGTTTTTTGAGACACGGTTTCTCTGAAATTCTGGTTTCAAGCCTCAGCTATCCTGGAACTTGCTCTGCAGATCAGGCTGGACTTGTTGGCTTTTTAACTTTATGACTTCTCAGGTTATGGACATCTGAGGGTGTCAGAGGTGCAAGATAGGTTTCCTTGGGCCAGGAATTTCTGAAACTAATTGGGCTGTGAACCAAACTTTGAATTTATATGTGGCTTTTTTGGTTCTAGGTGAAGGTTTCTCAATTTTGGCACTAGGGACATTTCCTGTAGGATAATTCTTGCTTTGCAGAGCCTGTCCGTCCTGTGCAGGGAAGGGTGTTTAGCAGCATCTCTGGTCCTTATCCAGTAGAGGGCAGTAGAACCCTATGCCAATTTTGTCTTGCATCTTCTGGAAACTCAAATGTCTCTTAGGGGACTGAATTCTTCCTCCTGTTGAGAACTGGTCAACACCCTCAGGAGGACTCCATATCTGCCAGGACACTTTTGATAAAAGAAAATCAAGGAAACAAAAGATAAGACTTGGTGAAATATCTTCTCTACGATAGTGAACCCTAGACAAGATTCTGGTTTTGTGTCAATAGGAGGATGAGATGACACCAACATACATGGGGAGATTTTCCTGGCTCACAACACAGCTGTCTTAAACAAGCACATAGGGTCGGCGAAGGGACAAGAAGTGCAGGGCATTGCTGCTAACTTCTGTCCATCTGTGTTAGTCCTGCTTTTTTATGGCTTTATTTTTTATTTATATGGCAGAGGCCAGAAAGGGGAGGCCAGAAGGAGGAGTCAGATTCCCTGGAGCTGGGGGTTTATGTGCTTGTGCCCCCCCCCCATATGGGTACTAGGAACCAAATTCAGATCCTCCGCAAGAGTAGCAAGCGCTCTTAACCAGTGAGCCATCTCTGCTGCCCCGTGTTTCTCCTCTTTTTCTTGTTGGCCTTGATCCTGTCCATTCTTGGTGCTTCACTTTTTTTTCCTTTTTATTGAAACTTTACTTTTTAACTTTTATTGATTCTTTGCAGATTTCATGTCATACATTCCAATCCCAGTTATCTCTGTCCCCTTGCATCTACCCTCTGCCCTTGCAACCCCCTTCCCCACCAAACAAACCCAAATTTAAAAGAAAAACCAAAACCCAAACAAAATTAAAAAACAACAACAAAAAAAAAGCAAACAAAAGGAAAAAAAGAGAGAGAAGAATCTTGTCATGGAAGCTATAGTGTGGCCCATTGAGTCCCACAGTTTTTCCTTTAGTTTATTCCTCTCTTTCTTAAAAATTTATTTGTTCTGTCTGCATGTATGCTTGCAGGCCAGAAGAGGGCACCAGATTTCATTATGAATGGTTGTGAGCCACCATGTGAGTGTGGGAATTGAACTCAGAACCGCTGGAAGAGCAGCCAATGCTCTTAACCAGAGGCCACCTCTCCAGCCCCTAGTTCATTCATCTTTACTTGCATGTGTTCATTGACACAGGTCATTAGTCTGTCTTGAGGATTCTGGCTTCTGCTATGCCACTGTTGATGGGCTCCCAATGGGGCTCCTCTAGGATAGCCTGTTGTTGTCCTATGTCATAGAGATCCTGCTGTTTTAGATCTGTGGGTTCATCTCCATTACATGCCCTAACAATTCATAGATGAGGCAGATGTTGGGGGGGGGGGCAACACATAGCCCTGGTTCTGGGCCCTGCTGGTAGCTGGATTGGTCAGATCACCAGCTGTCCCTTATCATCACTACCCAGATGAGTTCTCCAGCACTGCCCAGGCTAGCTCACTCAATGCAGTTTGCAGCAAAGATAAAAAAAAAAAGATTGTTTTTTTGTCAGGTGGTAGTGGCTCATGCTTTTAATGCCAGGACTTGGGAAGCAGAGACAGGCAGATCTCTGTGAGTTCTACAGAGTGAGCTCCAGGACAGCCAGGATTGCACAGAGAATCCTGTTCTCAAACAAAAAACGAAAATCAAACACAAAAAATAGTTTTTTAAAATATAATCCATATCCTGATTACTGTTTCCCCTCCCTCTACTCCTCCCAGTACCTCTCTGCCTTCCCCCGATCCAGATCCACCCCCTTTCTGTCTCTCATTAGAAAATAAACAAATTTCTATTATTATTTTATTAGTTTTTCTTTGTATGTTTTAGTCAGGTTCTCTATATAGCCCTGGCTGTCCTAGATCTCACTATGCAAACCTATGTAGGCTAAGAAAAGAGACAGATTTCTAAGGAATAACGTATAATAAATATAACATAATATATAGATAAAAAACTGACATGTTGGGATAGGACAAAAAAAGAAGGAAAAGAGCCCAAGAAAAGACACAAGACACAGATGCAGAGGAAGAGATCCACTTGTCCACACACTCAGGAATCCCATAAAAACACTAAACTGTAAGCCATAATATATACACAAAGGATCTGTAGCGTTAATGGGGAGAAAAAAATTAAAATACAAAAATAAAAAATAAGGCAAGTAGTAGTGGTACACACCTTTAATCTTACCACCGGGGAGGCAGAGGCAGGTAGTCAAGGCCAGACTGGCCTACAGAGAGAGTTCCAGGACAGCTTGGGCTACACAGAGAAACCCTCTCTCAAAAAAACAAAAGAAAAGGCTAAAAAAAAAAATCCCTGTCACAGCATTATGAGACAAGGTACCACCAAAAATGCTGTTGGCTTTCTACTGGCCATGTACTGCTGCTGGGCAGGCAGCCTACCCTTAAGAGTAATTTGTTTCCCAGTGAAACTTACTTTGAGATAACAAAATTTTCATTTGCAAGTGGTTATCAATTGGAGATAATGCTGGGTTAGGAATGGGGACAGGTGCCCACTTTTTAGCTCTAGGACCCCATCTGGTGCCGACGTGAGCAGGCCCTGTGCATGCTGCCTCAGTCCCTGAGTTCATATGAGCTTCAGTCATGTTGATTCATTAGATCCTGTTTCCTTGGTGTCCTCTATCCTCTCTAGTTCTTTCCACCTCCTTTTCCACAGGGTTCCTTGAGTCCCAAGGGGAGGGATTTGATGAACACATTTCATTTAGGGATTAATGTTCCATGGTCTCTTACTCTCTGCATGTTGTCTGCCTGTAGGTCTCTGTATTTGTTTTCTGCTGCAGGAGGAAGCATCTCTGATAATGACTGAGCAAGGCACTAATCTGTGAGTAGAGCAGAATGTCATTAGGAGCCATTTTATTGCTATGTTCTTTCAGTAGAACAGTGGTATTTAGTCATTAATTGTTGATCTTAGTGCCCGTGTTAATGAATGGTGTTTTGTTCAGAAGTCTTTTCCTGCGCCAATTCATTCAAGGCCATTTCTCACTTTCTCTTCTACCCAGTTCACTGTATCTGGTTTTATGCTGAGATCTTTGCTTTATTTGGAGTTGAGTTTTGTTCAGGGTGATAAATCTATTTGTATTGTTTTACATGCAATCAACCAGTTTGACCAGGCAGACCACCCCCAAATTAATAGGTGTGAGTTCTACTCATTATTTCTGGGTGGCTTAACAGGTCGATTTGTGTTAGCATCAAGAAGTCTGCTGGTTTGTATTGCTACAAAGACCTGGGCTTGGCTCGATGGAGGAAGGCGCAGCACAAGTTATATAGCCAGTGCCAGTTTTGGACAAACTATATAGTATACCTTAAAAGACTGTGTCCACGGTCTTGTGACAAACTGTGGGCATGAGGGACCTCAGCAATGCTGGTGTCTATCCAGGCCTTACAGAGTGGCTGCTTGCTCCTCACAGCTCTTCATAGAGGTTAATCTAGCATGCACACGTATACGGTACAGTCATCTAGGAGGCAGGCTATACCAGCCAGCCAATTGAAAATCGACAATACTGAATCGAAGTTTGCTTCCCAACAGTTCTAACCTTGTTTCCTTTGCTGAGATAAAGTGTGTTACTGAAGGTTCACTTGACTTTGTATTTGAAACCAGTTTAGGTGGATGGAGTTCAAGAAACTGCCGTGAAACAAAGAGCAGCATTTGTGAAAACCATTTCCACACTCCGATCCGCATGTATTTTGCTGATCCCGCAGAACTGATGGCACTGGCTTCAGGTCACCTTAGCAGACATGCTGAGATGGGTTGGTTTTATTGAGATGACCGAATGACGATTCCCTGGCAAGGTGCTCTCTGGCCAGCCCTGGTTTCCATTATGTAGCTGATTAAGGCCCCAAGTTTCTGAGACTGGGAGCTGCCTTTGCCCTCTTTGGTTTCTTCCCAAATGGGATGGTCTTATGTGTGGTGCTAGAATAGTGGCTGTTCTTGCTAACTGCCTGGTCTTTCTCTCTCCTAGTACCTCCACTCTGGGAGAACTTGGACCTTGTTCCTGCGGGTGATCGACAGTCACCCATCAACATCCGATGGAGGGACAGTGTTTATGACCCTGGCTTAAAACCACTCACTATCTCTTATGACCCCAGCACCTGCCTCCACATCTGGAATAATGGGTACTCTTTCCTTGTGGAATTTGAAGATTCTACAGATAAATCAGGTAAAAGCAAGATCTGGTAGGCATTTGTAAAGTGAAAGGAACTATGTTACACCAAAACAGGCAGTCTCCATGAGACTAGTGACCTCTTTATTAACAATGACGTGAAACTCACTGGTTTTACTTTTTGAATATATGTAAAATGTTTTTATGATCATTTCTTCCATCCAAAAGAAGTGATGTTTTATTACTTACATATAAATTCTATAACCATTATAGAAGAGAATATGTGAAATTTAACTTTGCTAGAAATTTATTTTGTATATATATATTCAATTGGTACAACTTTTCCTCTGCTTGCTGACCTTACAGGAATCAGCATATTAAACAGAAATATTATTAATCACAATTAAGTTATCAGATTGCAATATATCTGAAATGGGCCAAAAATAGTATTTATGTGTGTGCTAGATTATAGTCTTAACTATCTAAGGTGTGTCACATATTAGAGAAATAAGAAACTTATATCATGCTAGTTTTCTTAAACAGTATTACTTAGTTTTGCAGGGTGTCGTGGCATACACCTTTAGGAGGCAGAGGCAGGTGGATCTCTGTGAATTCAAGACCAGTCTGGTCTACAGAGTAAGGTCCAGGATAGCCTACAGAGAGATCTCATCTCAAAGAAAACACTATGAATTTGATGATGTCCAGTAATTATTACTTTGAGAAAATTATTCAAAATAGTATAGATAATGTAGTGGTTCCCAATTAGGAACAGTTTTGACACCTTCCTCCCATTGCTCCATTTCCTCCCATAGACCCTGGACAGGGGATTCTCCGGAAACTCTGTAGACATTTTTGTGTATTTCAACTCTCAGGGAAGGTGAACACAAGTAGCATTTTAGACCCAGAATGGTGCTGAAGGACCTGTGGTGCACAGAACACCAAGCAGGCCTTGGATCACTTTAGAACTGATGTTGGCAGTTCCTGAACTCAAGGAAAATGGCTTTCTCTCATGAATATGAGAAGGTGGGTCCATAACAGTGATGCTGGGTAAGGTAAAAAACATGTACTTTAAAAGCACCGGCATATGTAACTGATCTGGGAATCTCAGCTGTTCCTTTGTTTTATTTGCATTTTCCTGTAACTCTTGGATGCTTAGATATGGTGCTCTGGCCTCTTTGGTTCCCTGGACTGCAAACAGACTACTCTTCCAGTGCTCGCTCTCTCTCTCTCTCTCTCTCTCTCTCTCTCTCTCTGATTATCTTCCTGCTACAAACTGCAACATTATACAGTAATTGCTCAGCCATCTTCACAAACAACTTATCAGAACCAAGGGATCTGGTAAAGGCTAAACCAAAAGGCAGGCTTTTTGGCATTACTGCTTTGTGAATAAAGTGGCTGTCTTTTGCGGTAGATTTTTCACTGTAGCTGAACACCCTTTCTGTTTCAGTTTTGGGAATTGATTCTCTAGTCCAGAACAGTTTCCCACTGCCACCTTTCATTCCTCTCTCCCAGGTAAACACAGAAATCTGCCTTCCTGCAATTATCTTTATCAGTAGGCGTTTGGTCAGTGTTTAGGGCCCAGACAAAGAGCATTCCATTTAAGATAGTCACAGATATCCAAGGACATAGAATTACTGCTCACTCAAGCTGCTGCTCTGGTTTTACCCCACAACCAGAGCTGCTGATAACAGCATACCCCAGAACTGATCATTTAGAGGCCTGGGTCTCCTCTTTGTTTCTTCCGCCTAGAACAATAAGTATTTAAAACGAAAAAAAAAAAAAACAAACAAACCACTGAGCAATAAGTATAAACTCCAGACCTGGGCCCATAGAAACTGAAGTGTCTATCTGGTGTATGTACTTTCTGATAAAGAGCTTCTCCCTGACTCCATGCATGCTAAGAGAAAAGAAACAGTGTACTGATTTAAACAATCCATGCCCTGTTCATAATTGTACTGAAAATAAACTTTTTTGGCTCTTTCTAACCCCCTAAAAATGTACCGTAGCGCACTTCTCCTCTAGAATTCCCTGATGATTTAGTTCCTTTCTTAACTAACTTTCTTCATTAAGGAGTCATCAGACATGCACGGATCTGTGTGTCTGCGTGTGAAAACTCCTATCTGATTTTCTATGGGGCAAAAGAATTCCAGCCCTGGAACCTACTAGGACTGGGCAATTGCAGGTTGTAAGGATATATATGACTGGGAATGTTTGGAACGGGTGGAACAACGAGAAATGATGGATTGAAGAGAGTAAATAATCATGGGTAGACAGAACCTGTTGTGGGTAGACTTCTTTACCCCCAGATTTTTAGTCCCTCCTTTAGTTTATCCTGGCATCTTTAATTGAACCCCGAACGGAAGCCTTAAAGGCAAGAACTTTGAGGCTCCCGTTATCTTCCTTCTAGCATCCTTCTCTGCTATGATTCAGTATTCAAACCTGTCCTTTTGTACTGCAAGGTCTCCACATCCCCCATTCTTTGCTTTGTCCTATGTGGGTGCCTGTGCGTGTGTAGTATATGTAAGCATATGTAGTGCATGCAGATCTATGTAGCCATACATGTGCATGCAGAAGCCACAAAAAGTTGTCAGGTGTCTTCCTCTATTGCTAGCCACCTTATTCCCTTCAGACAGGGTCTCGCACTGAACCCAGAGCTTTCATTTCAGTGAGGCTGGCCTGCCAGTAAAATGTTAGGATTCTCTTTCTGTCTTCCAGTGTTGGGGTTTCAAGCATGTGTGGCCAGGCCCAGTTTTGCATGGGTGCTGGGGATTAAAACCCAGGTCCTAAGGCTTGCAAAGCAAATCCTTTTACCCACTGAGCCATCTTTCCACTCTTCTCTGCTTTATAGTGCAATACAGCCCCTCCCCCAAATCCTTAATGTGTTATTTAACATGCCTCAAACTAAGAAGGAATTTGCTCTTTTTCCTTACAGATTTGTGAACATTTTTCTCATACTTTCCCTCAAACTTAGAATTTATTCCCCATTTCCACTGCAAGCTTGTATTACCCCATATGTAAGAATTCCAGGAAATTTCAAAACAGCAAACTAAGTTCCTGTGTTTCCTGTTACTGTGCTGGCGCTCAGCTGCTATCCCTGTTGGCCTAATAGGCAGACCTAGCTGTGGGTACCTACCCGCACACACTCACTCTGCCTAGCTGTGGGTGCCTACCTGCACACATTCACTCTGGATACACCTCACAGTCCCTTCAGAGTCAGTCGCAGCACCGTTCCTGGTAATTTTCTTTCTGTCTGCAGACTCTAGGGTGTTGGTCAGCTTTGAAAGCCCTTGGTGGATTTAGCAGGTTGACAATTTATCATCGCTGTGTTGAGTGGGGAATCACAGGAAGCTGTCCGATGGTTTCTCTGAGCCAAGTGAGTTAAGCCCAAGAGCGTTCAGAGTTAAATGGCTACGTTTTTTTGTTTTGTTTGAGACTGGATCTCATGTAGCCGAAGCTAGCCTCTAGCTCTCTGTGTAGCCAAGGATATCTTGAACTCCTGATCCTCCAACCTCTGCCTCTCAAGTGCTGCTATTGCATGTGTGCCCCGACCTGGCTTCCATAGCTGTTTTAAAATTTTGTAGTCTCTCTTTTACTTTTTTTTTCTGTCTTTTTTTTTCTCTTTTACTTTTGAACTGTAGATTTAAGAAGTCCTATTCTACTCTTTCACATGGGTAATCTCAGAGGAAAACCAAAGAACTCATGTTTCCATCACAACAGATGTTTCGATTCTACAGACCTACCTGACTAACATCCCTCTGATGCTGTTTCCCTGAGTGAGTCAATCCCTAGCAGTCAGTCACACTGTTTTTATAAACATGCAAGACAAATTCTTGAGGAATTGCTTATTTTTCACTTTCTCGGAATGGACTCAAAGTGACAGCTCTTTTATACCGTTTGATTATCATCTCCTGTTGAATGCCATCACTCTCTACTAAGTCCGTAACTTTCTCTCTGTCTCTCATTTTTCCTTTCAGTGTTTGACTGCCTCTTAATCCCTGCTTATTCTTCATTGTTGGTTCTTCATCCTGTCTCAAAAATAAATCCACAGTACTCCAAAAGAGGCAAAAATAGAGTACCTATGCATCAAAAGTAAAGAAAATAATAAAAGAAAGTAAAAACATGCTAGAAATGAAGAAAAGCAAGGAACAGTTCTAGGGAGAAAAATCTAATTTATGAGTTTCAAAATACAATAGGAAATGAAAATTTCTTAGGAAAACAGCCCTAAGAAATGCTGTTGCAGAGTGTGTTGTATGATCTGGAATAAAGTGAAGGAAAAGAGCCAGGGAAGTTATGTGACATAAAGCATCCTGCCAGGTCTTAGAGCAGCTAAAGCATCGTTTTAAAGGGAAATTCATAGATGAAAAGGCCCATAACAGAGAAGAGGGTTGTCTCATCACTAAACTTAGCTTCCCACCCTAAGAAACTGCACCAGAAGAAATTAAACCCAAAGCAGAAAAGAAGGCCATGATAATGAGCTGAACAGAAATCAATGGAATGAAAAAGTGGTTCTTTGGAAGGAGCAACAGCATCGACAAAGGTTCAATTAGATGAGCCAAGAAAACATTAAAGAAGACGCTATTAAAACCTGACATGACTAAAGAGGCAACACAACCTACCTACCAGAAACTCACGGCTCTAGACTAGAAGGCATGTGAGCGCCACACTGCTGTCCTTTTCGGAGGATGGCTTTGTTATCCGGGTCCCTGTTCTAGTTTTATTTCTGTCGCTCTGAGAATATCCTAACAAAAAGCAACACAGGGAAGGAAGGGCTTATTTGGCTTATGGTTCCAGCTTATAGTCCATCACTGGAGGGAAAGCAAGGCAGACATTTAAAGCTTCAACAACCATGGTCAAGAGCAGAGAGAGAAATGCCTGGAATATTGTTTGCTGGTTCTCCCTGGCTAGTTTTCTCTATTCTTACACCATCCAAGTGGTGCCAAGCCATGGTGCCAGTCGTATTCAGGGTGGGTCTTCCCACCTCGATTAACAGTCAATCACCCACAGACATTCCCACAGGCCAACCTGACCTAGCCAATTTATCAACTCAGACTCCATTCGCGAGTGTTTCTGGGTTGTAGCAAGTTGACTTTTAAACTCACAAGTTGGTACAGGGATGCACACTTTTAGTACCAGTACCAGGCAGAGGCAAGCATATCTCTGTGAGTTCTATGCTAGCCTGATCTACAAGAGTGAGTTCCAGGACAGCTGGGGTTACACAGAGAAACCCTGTCTCAAAATCAAAAGAAGAAGAAGAAGAGGAGGAGGAGGAGGAGGAGGAGGAGGAGGAGGAGGAGCAGGAGCAGGAGCAGGAGGAAGAGGAGGAGGAGGAGGAGGAGGAGGAGGAGGAGGAGGAGGAGGAGGAGAAGAAGAAGAAGAAGAAGAAGAAGAAGAAGAAGAAGAAGAAGAAGAAGAAGAAGAAGCAAAAATCCAACAATCATAACCCCTGAGAAGGCCATACACAGTTCCCTGGTTTTAATGAGTAGGTGTGGTAATTATGACAAAGTGTCGGGGAGTATAACGGTCTTTCTCAGACCACCAGCCCACAAATCATAGCTTGGAGGCATATTATTATTTATGAATGCTTGGCCTTATTGTATACTTGTCCCACATATAATTTAATTTAACCTCTTTCTCTTTATCTATGTTTTGCCTTGGGGCTTTTTGCCTTTCTTTCATTCAGTCCTACTTTTTCTGCTTCTCCCATATCTGAGTGACTGGCAGCTGCCTGGCTGGCTGGCCCCGGGCGTCTCCCTCTCTTTCTCTTTTTTCTTCCAGTCCCAGATTCCTCCTCCTACTTATTCTCTCTGCCCACCAGCCCCACCTATCCCTCTACTGCCTAGCTATTGGCTCTTCAGCTTTTTATTAGACCAATCAGGTGCCTTAGGCAGGCAAGATAAAAACAAATGCAACACATCTTTCCATAGTTAAAGTAATATTCCACAATATAAATAAATGTAACACATCTTTACATAGCTAAGGTAATGTTCCACAACAGTGGAGGATGCTACATTATCCCTGGGCTGACATGGACGGTCCCTGTCATCAACTTAGTCAACTTTCTTGAAATTCTTACTGGCATTCAGGAGGAGGAGAGGAGGGTCCCATTGTTCTCCTAAGGGTGCTGCCTACCCAATTGTGTCTCACATTATACTTTTATGGGCACCAGGAGGTGGCGAATCTAGTAAGAATGCTTTCCAAAACCTTTTCAGCTCCCCTTCCCTATTTAGGTTCTACATTAACTTAAAAAAATAAATTATTTTGGTAAACTTACAGAGTGATATCACGTATGAACTTCCTCAGTTGGCAAGTATGCTCACTAGCAAAGAGTCTGCTTTTGTGCAAGCTCTATCAGGCTTTGCAAGCAAGCAAGCAAGCAGGGTGGAAGTTGGTCCCTTTGTTTCCTGTGGCCTGGGTTTCTGATACAAGGGGACAAACCTAACCGCAGCTTCAAGGATGTTTAACCACAATACGGCACTGAAGCCCACAGTTACAGTTTCATTGGTTTCTTCACGTCTCACCTCCCTCCTTAACCAAGAGACACAACTCCCAGCACAGAGCTCCTGTTTCCTGTTACCTCATATCTAACTCCTTGCCTACTGCGTTTCAATTACAAACAGCCAATGGGTTCAAGCCAAAGTTCTTTCGCTTCAGAGTTCATCTTCTCCACAGTGTTATATGGTAGAACCCTTCTCTGCATTGCCTCCCCGTGTTGTCCAGTTTACACAGATATGATGCTAAGCACACCAAGGGGGTTGTAACTTAGAAAGTGCTGGAGCCAATGCTAGCGCTCTAAGCTCTTTGTTCCCAGGACTCACAGTATGGCTGTATCTACAGGCCAGAGAGCTAATGAGAACTAATCAGACTGGCCGAGTTTAAAGGAAGCAGTGGCAATGAAGAACAGGTGGGTCTACTCCAAGGGGGCAGCCTTTTCACCCACCCAGCCTGTAGTCCAATGAGAATGTGTGCCCATCATGGCCAGAGGAGTTTCACGGATGCAAGTCAGGTTGAAAATACGTATGTTTGTAAGAAATTGCCCAGCTTTAATTTGTTTCCTGCTCCCAGTTTTCATGTGTGTGTGGTGTGCATGGTTTTTGCATGCTCGTGGTAGCACATGTACTTGTGGAAGCCTTAGGTTGGTGCTAGGGATCATCGCTCTTCCTCCCTATTGATTGGACTCAAAACTAGAGCTTGCCGCCTATGCTAGTCTTGCTAGCTAGCTTGCTCTGGCAATCTCCCGTCTCTGCTTCCTAGGGTGGAATTACAGGTGAGTCACCTCATCCACCTACTCACCTAGCATTCCACCTGAGTTCTGGGGATTCAACCTTTAGTCCCCACTCACACCAGCAGTTTGACCATGGAGTTACTGTCCTAGCCCTGAAATTTTCCAGCTTGAAATTTTGGCACTCGGATTTTAAAATGTCTTTAGTGTGGTATCAACCAGTGCTATCTGGTAAACTGGAACACCCTGAGGCCAGTTCTGCCTTTCATTTTCCTCACAGCCACTTTGTTGGTGACATCTCCTCTCTGCTTTGTTCATCGTCTTTGGAGGCAGCAAACAGTCAAAGTCCAGGATGTTTTCAGGGTTGTCCTAGGGAAAGAAGAGAAAAAAATGGGCCCTTTCCTCTGTGCCTCTTAATTTGGGATTAGAACCTCATTTTTTTTTGTTTTTGTTTTTTTTGAGACAGGTTTCTCTGTAGCTTTGGAGCCTGTCCTGGAACTAGCTCTTGTAGACCAGGCTGGTCTCAAACTCACAGAGATCTGCCTGCCTCTGCCTCCCAAGTGCTGGGATTAAAGGTGTGTACCACTATGCTTGGCAAAACTGTTTTTTTCAAAAGAAGACATCATGTGAGAAAACTTTAGAGGCCAGTAAGATACAGAGGGGACCACTGCCCGCTACATCAGTGCATTTGGTCCTTGGGGTTGCCAGACTCCACCATTTGTGCACAGAAGTCGCAACTCACGACACAGTACACGCTGAAGATCATGACTTTACCCTTTCTGAGGAGTGCTCGGGAGGGGGGAGTTGGGGGGAAGGTGGGGAGGGAGGGGGAACTGTGGCTGATATATAAAATGAAAAAAACCTTTTAAATAAAAAGGATACATAAGATGCGCTGCTGGATTGGTTTGACCGTGTACAGATGTTGCTAGACTCTGATGAGACCGAAGGAATGAGAATGGTTTAGCAAAGTTGGGGGTGGGGATCAGCGCAGCTCAAAGCAGATGGGAGAGTGACATTTTTTCCCTTCTTGTGCCCATGTTGTACCCGGGGTAACAATGAAACCCTGGCTCAAAAATAACAAAACCCCAAAACTTGAAAAGGAGGGTGTTAGTGTATAAAGAAAAAAAAAAGAATGGGACTGGTGAGATGGCTCAGCAGGCGAAGATGCATACTGCTAAGTCTGATGGTGTCTGAGACACACAAACACAAATAAATGCATTCACTTTTTTCCAGGAAGGAGAACGAAACACACCTTTAAAGGCAGCTCTTGGGAGGCTCAGCCAGACTAATTCCTAGTTTGAGGGAAGGCTGGCCTAAGTGAATTTAAAATCTTTGTCGAATAGCTTTTGTCTGCATAGTTTAGTTTTATCTCATTGCATTGGATAAGCACACCAAGAGAAATTTACATTTTTATTTTATACAATGGAAACTAGGCCCAATAACTACAGATGAGAAATAAGTCAAACTGTAATCCCAGCACTCAGAAGGTGAAGTAAATTCAGGTTCATGGTCATCTGTGGCTATATAGTGAGTTTAAGACCAGCCTGGGATACATGAAAACTTGTGCCTAATTAATTTAATTAATTAAAATAACCTGAAATCTAGCGTTTACCATTTGCATGTTGCTTGGTACGTGATCCAGTCTTGATATTATTCGGCCGAATCTTTAGACAGTGTTTACTTTGTGGAAATCAGTTTTCTAAATACTTGTATGTGATATGGTAGACTCCAAATGATTCAAGGACAAGGTCCACCCTTTCTCCACGTTTTCCTGAATTGCTGGATGTGTCATTTCAGTGATTAAGGGAGGACCCCTGGAACACAACTACCGACTGAAGCAGTTTCATTTTCACTGGGGGGCCATTGATGCTTGGGGTTCGGAGCACACTGTGGACAACAAATGCTACCCAGCAGAGGTATGTTTCTTTTCCTTTCATTCTCTATTTTTTTTTAAGATGAGATCTTCCTGTAGTTTTGGCTGTCCTGGAGGTCACTGTGTAGACCGGGCTGGTTGTGAACTCACAGAAATCCTCCTGCGTCCACCTCCCAAGTGCTGGGATTAAAGGTGTTCAGACCCAGCTGGAACAACAGAAGGATGCTGAAAAGGTCCCCAAGAGCAATGGGTGTGTGTAAGTGGGGAGAGTTCTGGGTTTCTAGTTCACGGAAATTACCCAGAAGTCCCAGGTGATGCTTTAAATCCTGTTTAGCTTGCTTGGGACAGGGTTGAGCCTTCCCATTTTATACATGTAAAAATTATATTCGTTCTGAATAGTACACCTGAAATAAACCTTAAGATGACGAAACTGCATTCTGGGGCTGGGGAGACAGGTCGGTGGTTAAGAGCACTTGTTGCTCTTGCAAGAGGACCTGGGTTCAGTTCCCCACACCCACATGGTACCACAACCATTTGTAACTCCAGTCCCAGGGGATCTGATGCCTTTTTCTGACCTCAGCAGGCACCAGGCGCATACATGATACACAGACATACATGCGGGCCAAGCACTCAGACACGTAAAATATAAAATAAATAAATATTGAAAATTAGAATGGAATTCGTTCTGAATTCCGAGTTAGGTGCAGTCATTCCTAAAGCCATAAGTTTCTGTAGAGTTGCAAAACAGATTAATCCCAGTGGGAAATAGTGGGGCTCTCAGTGAAGGCCGGGGCAAGAGAGAATGAGAGAAACAGGAAGATTATCGAAGGGTTCTGAAGTCAGAGTGCCAAAGCACCAGAACTTGCAGTTGAGTTCGTCTTCAGGACAGAGAGCTAACTGGGACCTCAAAGTGGCCCATTTGGGAGGTTAGGTGATGGGAATGCACTGGTTTGAGAAAGGTGGGCGAAGAATGATTGATATGGAAATGCAAGCAGAGCACAAGGAAATAGGATTTCTCTTTGCAAATAGAATTTCTTCTTGCAACTTTTCCCTCAATTTAGTTTTAAATGTGATGCTAAAAATGAAAACCTTTTAAGTGATCATCCCTCCAAGAAGAAATTTGTCTCTAGCGCCCATCTAATTTTCACAGGGAGAATATATTTCTCTTAACATAAACATCTTCTTGCCTTGAGATGCAAATGGATTTGGGATATTAGTATTTCATGCAAATCAGGGAGGGGATGAAGAAAATGTTGATCCGTCATTGCAAAGTTACTGTCCTATGTGAATTTTATTTTTCTCTCCTAACAAATCCCTCTCTTTCAAAGTAATATTGCTCTTCTTGCCACAATGTCTCCTTCCCATTCTTTATGTTGATCTCACTTCGTACCAGACCGCCACATACTTTTCTCAGTGGCTCTATGTTAGGAGATGAAACGAGATTAAATGTTCCATGTTGGATGGGGCTGTCTGTTTAGTTCGGTGCAGCCCTGCATGGTCTTGTATAAACCTCGCGTTTCCTGTTGTTTCAGCTGCACTTGGTACATTGGAATGCAGTCAAATTTGAAATCTTTGAGGATGCAGCCCTGGAAGAAAACGGCTTGGCTGTGATAGGTGTATTTTTAAAGGTAAAAACAAACGCTCAGGCCGGACACGATGGGACACACCTTCAATCTCAGCTCTTGGGAGGCAGAGGCAAGCAGAGCTCTGTGAGTTCTAGGCCAGCTTAGTCTACATAATGAGTTCCAGGACAGCCAGGCTATACAGAGAGACCCTGCCTCAAGCAAGCAAGCAAACAAACAAGCAAGCCAACCATCTCACCAAGTTCAAATGGTCTATTGTATCTTACACTGAAAAGATAGAACATTACAATATAAGCTACTTATCTGAAGAAAATTTAGAACTAAAAGGAAAAATATCTGTAGAGATTCCTTAATGGTTAAGAACATGTACTACCCACGTAGTTGATCACAGTTCAGTTCCCAGCACCTACATCCACCAATTTATGACTGCCTCTAAGTCTAGCTCCAGGGCTATTGGATGCCTTCACTCAAATGCACATCAACCCTCCCTATGCTCATGCGCATACATGCGCGCACACACACTTCAAACAAGTAAAAAGAAATCTTAAAAAAGAAAAAAAAAGAACATTGGGCCAAGCATGGTGGCGCATGCCTTTAAATCCAGCACTCAGAAGCCTGAAGCAGTAGCTAGCATTGCTGATATATTAAATATTAATGTGGGCTACAACATGAGAATTTGTCTCAAAAAGTTTAGGAAGAGGGACTACTGAGAAATCTCAGAGTTTTAAGAGTGCTGCCAGGCATGGTGGCACACACCGTTGATCCCAGCACTCAGGAGGCAGAGGAGAGATGTCTGTGAGTTCGAGGTCAGCTTGGTCTACACAGTAAATTCCAGAACAGCCAGGGCTACACAGAGAAAAACAAAACAAAACAAAGCAAGCAAGCAAACAAACAAACATTGGGATCAATAGGAAAGGTGAGGAGGAGGGACGGGAAGGGGAATGAATATAATTGAAGTACATGATATATACATATGGAAATTTCACAAGGGAGTTCACTATCCTGCATAATTAACATTTTAAAAAGAGTATTAGTACCAGGCCAAGTGTGGTGCCGCACACTTTTAATTCGAGTACTCAGGAGGTACCGATCGGCAGGTGGATCTCTGTGGGTTTGAGGCCAGCCAGGACTATGTAGTGAGACTGTCTAAAAATATATGTGTTCTACATATAGATGGAAAAACCAGCAGTAGTTAAAAAGCAGTAACTATTATGAGTGTGTTTCAAATGGTCTAAAAATGTGTTACAGAGGCTAGAGCAATGGCTTGGTGCTCTAGAGTGCTTGCTGATGTGATATTCAGTTCCCAGCATGCTCACCAGGCTGCTCACAGCTGCCTGTAACTCCTGCTTCATTGGATTCAATACCCGCTTCTGTACTCCATGGGCATCTGCCCCACATGCACAGATCCCTACTCAGACAGACAGACAGACATACATACATAAAAATAAAAAGTAAAATAGGTCTTAAAAATACACAGCCAAATAGAGAAGGCACAAGTCATCTGGGGCACGTCAGCACTTGGAAAATGCTTAGTTTGAGACGTTGAGGCCAGCCCAGGCTACATGCTAAAACCCTGTCTTAAAAGGGCGAGGTTAGTGAAAATGCAGGGTAATTTATAATTTCATTCATTTAAAATGCAGCGTAAGAAATGATAGTTAATGGGAACAGGAGGCACCTTTCTCTGTAGACAGGCTGCTCTTGCCAGCAAACAGCCTGTTCATTTTGCTCTCAGTCTAATTTAATTTAGTGCTGTTTATAATATTTGTAATTACCAGCTGAAATCTAGTTTCAGCCCTGTGGTTTGTTTATATGTAACCACCAGGTGGTTAATTTTGACTCGCATCCTATTTGAGTTTCTACAGCGAGATGGCCATTGTGCGTAATATTTCTTCTCCTTTTATTTTTCCAGCTAGGCAAACATCATAAAGAACTACAGAAATTGGTGGACACTCTGCCATCAATTAAGCACAAGGTAATCTTCCTCCTTACATCACCTGAAGCCTATCTTATATATATCGGAGTAGATAATGCACTTAGAAGCAGGAAGACAAATTAAAGGAACTACATTCTGTTTCCACACTGCTGCAGGAGGAGACCTGGCATGGATGAGGGTGCATTGATGATGACCATCCTGTGGTTAAACCCTGCAGGGCACAGGAGAAATGACCTTGGTGGAGCTTTCTGGTTTTGCTGAGTGCTTGCTAACCGGGGATCTACCCTTTCCTGACAATTCCCTCTCCATCTTTGTAGGGACACTCAGAACAACCTTCTTTTCTTTATCTACCTCCCATGAGTAGGCAGAGAGAAGAGTTGTACAGAAACTTGTCTAGAGTGAAGCACTCTGTGTCCTCTGTCCAACTGCCAAGACGAATTCCTCAGTATTCAGAATCCCATATGGGCGGCTTCCCGGAAATCAGTACACCATTCTGTTCTCTGCCCTCCTATTCCCCTCCTTCCCTCCCTCTCTTCTTGTTTTCCTCTTTTTCTCTTCTTAGTTCAGGATTCTGGCATTCCTTTCCTTCCTTATTTCCTTCCTCTCCAATTCCTCCTTCCCTCCCTTTCTCTTTCATTGCAGTGCCGGGATGGAACTCAGTGTTTGAGCATGCTAGGCAAGCAGTCTAGCACTGAGCTATACCCTCAGCTCTGGGCTAGTTTTGAAAGGACAAATCTTGTTAGTTTCTCTTGAAGAAGAGACACCTCTCTGTTTATGAGCAGCTACTACCTAATACCCCCCAAAAGAATTAAAGGAGAAAATGTTTTTGTTGTTTCTCTCGGGGAGAACTATCAGAAAATCACAGTGTGATTTTGTGTGAAGTAGTGATGGCTGTTTTAGAAGGTACCCTTAGTCCCTGGACATGCCCTGGACCACTGTTAGTCCCTGAACAATCCATGAAACTCACTGCCTCACCCTTTGATGCCTGAGTAACTTTGACCAATAAGTAATAACTCCGTTCTCTTGGACAGGACACCCTGGCAGAATTTGGATCATTTGACCCTTCCTGTCTGATGCCTGCTTGCCCAGATTACTGGACCTACTCTGGCTCTCTCACTACACTGCCCCTCTCCGAGTCTGTTACCTGGATCATTAAGAAGCAGCCAGTAGAAGTTGATCATGATCAGGTATTCCTTGCGCATCTTCCATCCAGGGAAATGCTCATCTGTCTGTTCACGCTTGGCTCTAATCTTAACATCAGTTTTGCTTGTTTGTTTTGGGAGAAGTGGGGTCTCATGTAGCCAAGGCTGGCCTGGAACTTTAAAGGAACTTTTTTTGTGCATGTTTTATTGTCTTGTGGTGGTAGAGATTGAACTCAGGGCCTTGCCCAGACTAGGAAAGCATTTGCTTCTGTATCTCTAGCCTTAACCAGGAAAAAGACTTAAAACACAGAAGGACATGGACGTAGCTATTTGCCTTTATATTTGCTTAGGAATTGTGTGCTTCCTCTGTAGCTGTGAATCTCTATGTAAAATCAAGACCCCGGTGAAGGAAAGTGTGAGCTGGAAATGTCCAGAGCATTTATAATTCTCAAGGGAATTCTGCAGTAAAAGCCCAGGAGACTAACAATGACTATGAAGAAAACTGAATATTATTTAAACCTGTGGTCTATATTTGCTTAGAAAACCAGTTGAAGTGATAATTACTATACCTATACACAAAGTCTTGTTTAGTTTACTACTAAAATGCAATGATATTTGCTCATGGGTTTGGGATCTAGCTTAGTTCTGGGTTCAATCCCCTGTAACACCTCTCTCTACACACACACACACACACACACACACACACACACACACACTCCAAACAGATAATTTCTAATATTTTCTCATACTTGCTGTGTAGGATATGTATTGATTATTAATCCTTTTCACAAGAAATAAACAAAACCTTCCAAACTTTTTATGAAATCAATATAACTGACTCTACCAGTGATAGCCCTACCAAAGTGAATTTGAGACTGATCAGAAAGTAAAAGAGGTAAAATCCAATATTAGAAACAGAATCCAGCAGTGTATCAGATGCAGAGGGATAGTTGTTACTGGTCCCAAACTCTCTTAACTGCTGAGCCAACCCCAGATGCCTGTTTATTATAGTAACAAAATTCATGGTATCAGTGACTCTACCTAAAGAAAAATATTAACATTGCCAGAACTTTGTGTTTCTTCTTTTGGGATTTTTGAGACAGGGGTTCCTCTGTGTAGCCCTGGCTGTCCTAAACTCACTTTGTAGACCAGGCTGGCCTTCAACTCGCAGAGATCCACCTGCCTCTACCTCCTGAGTGCTGGAATTAAAGGCATACACCACCATTGCCCCGCCAGACTCTTTATTTTTAAAATGGTACTGAGAATTGAACCTAAGATCTAGTGCATGCTAGGCAAGTAGTCTACCACTTAGCCACATCCCTGGCCCTCATTTCTGGAGACTCTTAATGACAGTTGTAAAAGTCTTTATTTTTTATTAAAGAAATAGAAGTTTATTAAGAAGGAGAAAGTAATACTCCCTCAAATAGGAGTGAGCTAGTGAGTTGAAGGAAAGCCCCTACAGCCTCTAGTTTGTTTTCGTTTAGTTTCATTTCTTGTTTTTTAAAATATGGTCTCTCTATCTAGCCCTGTCTGTTCTGGAACTCACTATGTAGACCAGGTTGTCCTCAAACTCCCAGGGATCCTCCTGCCTCAGTCCCCTTAGTTCTGGGTACCTTGCTATTCTGTCCGTAATAACTTGTACTAAAATACAGATGAATAGAGACTTCCTTAACATGGTGATCTTAGGAGCTAGGGAGATGGCTCAGGAGTTAAGAGCACTTGCTGCTCTTCCAGAGGCCAGGAGTTCAGATCCAAGCAGCCATGTCAGACAGTTCACGGCCACCTGTAACTTCAGTTCCCGGGCATTCAGTGTCCTCTTCTGGCCCACATAGATAGCATACACAAGTGGCATACTCTCTCGCTCAAAAATAAAAATAAAATAATTTAGAAAGCAAATACATTCATCCGTTGGTAACTGTGGAAGACTGGTTCCAGAACCCCAAATATAGTAAAGATGCAGCTACTCAAGTCCCTTATATGGAACTGCCTAAGACTTTAACATTTGCATGTATCCTACACACACCTTACAATATACTTTAAATCACCTGTATATTACTTTTTGAGATCATATTGCCATACAGTAGAAATACTATGTAATGTTTCTACTGTATTGGTTAGGGAGTACTGTCAAGAAAAGCCTCTGTACATAGTCAATAGAAGCAATTTCCTGGCTGGCCTAGAGTTCAGTGTAGACCAAAATGGCCTTGAAATTACAATGATCCTCCTGTTTCTGCCTCCTGACTATCAACAGTATTTTTCTAATATTCATGTGGAACCCATGGATACAGAATACCAATAATTACAATAATTATGTCTTATATGGAAGTATTTTTTTGCCTCATGTAGCCCCACTCTGGCCTCCAACTCACTATGTAGCCAAAGATGACCTTTGAACTTCTCTATTCACGTCTCTACCTTACAAATGCTGGGATTACAGGTACACCTGGAAATAACTGCTACCATATTAAATGTTATATTAAATTATATTCTAGAATTATCTATATACTATGTATGCCTACAGACCTAGCTACTCAGGAGGCTGAGGCAGAAGGATTGTCTGAGCCTGGCTGTTCAAAACTGGGCTGAGCAATAATATATCAAGACTACTCCTCTCTCTTAAAAAATACGTTATAGAGCCGGGTATGTTGGTACATGCCTTTAATCCCAACACTAGTGGGATCCTGTCTCAAAAACAAAAGACCCGAAACATTGTAGAAATGGCCCATATGATCAGATCAAAAAATAAAGCTAAGTGAGGAAAACAGTTAAAAATGCAAAAATGAAATAATTTAACAGTTGGTGCAGTGTGTTAATATATAGAAATAAAGATATATATCAACTATATGTCAGTTAAAAGACATAATGACACAAAGATATAATTTAAAAAGTCATAGATATGATCAGAATAAAACTGAAAAATACACTAGAGCAGTTTGAACAAGGAAAGCTAAACATAAAACTTAAAAGCTTCCAGGATACTGAAGAAGACTTAATTAACTTCATTACTGGCCAGGAAGACATCATAACGATGTTAGTTTTCCTTAAGTTGTTATATTTTCCATGAATTCTTTAGTCTCCATAATTTAATGTAGCTCCAATAAACATGTCATCAGGACTTAAAGTGACCACATTACTTTTAAAAGGTTTTATTTTTAAAAAATTATTTTATGTATATGAATATTTGTCTACATTTATATGTATATACCACATGTGTGACTAGTTTCCAAGGAGACCAGAAGAAGGTTTGGATATACTATAACGGGAGTTATGGATGGTTGTGAGTCTCCATGTGTTTGCTGGGAACTCAGTTCAGGTTCTCTACAAGAGCAGCAAGTGATCCTAACCACGGAACCACCTCTTCAGCCTCATTTCATTCTGGTTTTGAATGTGTGTATGTGTGCCCTCACAAAGAAGCCAGAAAAGGGGTGCCAGATCCACTTGAACTCAAATTAGAGGCTGAGTTGCTCAGCATGTGTGCTGGGAACTAAATTTGGATCTTCTGAAAAAATGACAAGCACCCTTAACCACTGAACCACCTCTCCAGCCCCTTAGACATAAATTTGAGTCAAAACAGATATGCATAAATAGCCAGGGAGATTTCTGGCACAGGAATAAGACAAACAATCAAGAAAAGCGGTTAGAAAATAGAAATAAAGCCAATGGAAGGCACACACCACACACACACACACACACACACACACAGAGAGAGAGAGAGAGAGAGAGAGAGAGAGAGAGAGAGAGAGAGAGAAGGGAGTGAAGAAGGAAGGAAGGGAAAGTGGGAATGAATTAGTCTGGGTTCTTTTGAATAGGGCTTCTTATGCTCATGTGCTTATGGAGGCTGAGAAGTCTTCTGGTTTGCTGTCTTCTCCTGAAGAACCGGCTTCAGCAGGTTAGAGAAACTGGAGCGATGGGAAGTCAGCCACTACTAAACATATACACAAGAGGTTTATCCGAGGGGGCAAAACTTAATTGTTCATTTTATTTTTCTCTTTCTTCTTCTGCCACTTAATTTTTCTCTTATCCCTTTGATACCACCTAAGTCAAAAGTTTCTATGCAAGAAAAAATTACCTCCCAACCACAATTACATATTTTCCAGAAACAAATTAAAATCTTTACAAAGGAAGAAATCATATCATAATCACAAGTTACAGGGTTTTTATTTTGTCGAAGCCCACAAGTAGTTCAACATTTTTCTTTGTATTAATTTTCCCGCCGTAACATTTTTCTCCCAAAGCAATGATTTCTTCATTATTAGCAAAGGTCTAAGCAAGCCAGTGTATTGCAGCCAGTTCCTTTGCACTGGCCTGCAGCTGTTTCAGGTTTCAGTGCAGCAGATTCGTATAAAGCTATAAACAAGAGGTGTAGCTCGCCATCTGTTTTCCCTTACACACAATAGGGACATTCAATTTCCTCTCACAGCTTTGTTTTTTCAGGGTGCACACCAGGGCTGTGATTAATTCTGTAGGCTACATGACCAGGGACCTCAGGCCTAACCCTGGGTGTGGGGACATAACTGCCTGTTTGCCCACAGGCAGAGTTCATGTACGGGTCTGTTAATGCACTGAAACTTCCTTATTGTTATTTTCCATCCTCGGCAAACCTCACATCTAACAAAGGGGAAAGTGACTTCTAGCCTAATTTTGCCCTTTTTTTGTATGTTTTATTACAGCAATTGGCAGACTAACCTAAACCGTTTCCCTAATCATCTTTTCTGTCTTAAGCACCTGTATCTTTAAATCATGGATCTCACCATTGCTCCTATAAAAGTCATCTTCAATATGATCAGCAAGTAAAATGCTCAGTGAGGAGCGGGATTTTCCCATGAAACCATCCCACTATCTTAGGCACAGTGGGATCCTTTCACCTGGTAATCACACCATGCCCAACACACCAGGAACATGGCAGCAGCAAGCAGGAGAAAGCACAGCAGAAGAAAGGGGCTTGCTGGAAGCAATCCCTCTCCAGCGTGTCCCCATCATAACTTTGTTGTCTGGTGGGCTGAGGCTCATAAGCTCCATTGCTGACTGCAGCTCCTCAGGCAGAG